TACGTCATTGCCTTCAACACTACGCTGTTAAAGAGGTGGGCACGGTCCTTCTGGTCCGATGTTTTGAGGAATCGATGATGCTGTAGAATTTGCGCCATCCGGCAGCCATTTGACGCATAATCTCTGGTAGGAGGTCATGGCGTATATTCAATTCTTGGCCCAAATGGCTAATACCGGGTAATGATCGGGTCACAATTATGGAAACTAGAGGCGAATTCCCATTTTATGCGTAAAATTTCTTGAAGAGTTCCATATATTTCACTGTTCTATGTTATGTACACACATTACGTCTTTTCGAAGAGAGCGTGATAAAGTGTACATTGCCATTCGCCCTTCCCAGTCAGTGATATTGAAGGGAACAAGGGCAGAGAAACACTCCTGAGTTGACTGTTCCCTTCAAGCTGTATATCAACTGAGAGGTGGAATCGTTGTTTCGATTTCCTCAAAGCAGCCATCCACTGTTTCACTATTCTCCATCTCTATGGAGAGAATTTTGTAGAACCACTTGCCTGGTGGTGAAGCCGTAAGACTTTCAACGCGTCAGGAAGTTTTGTTACATTCGGTGGTTATCGTATGACGGCGGTCGTGGATGTACAAATGGGCCATAAATCGCTGTTCGAATCTGATTAGTAAGATCATACATAGATCATACCTTAGCAGTCGCGTTGGTTGACAGTCAGCAGTAGACGGTAACGAATGGACTGGACCAGACTAAATGTTGCATGAAATGGACTGTCACAAGAGGGAGGTGGCCACTGCTTGAGGACACTTGCCGCCGCCTGCGACGAGAGTGACAGCGAGGCAGAAGACCCGTGTCGCTAGTCATTGGTCGTTCATGGTCGTTGTCGTTGATGTTCGTCGCTCGCCGTTCGGCTGAATCGTTCGGCTAAACGATTGTCATTCATTTGTTCATCGGCGCTGTACGCAGCATCAAGTTCAATGGCACCGGCCGGCGACACTCAGGCCTGGACGATGCACGATGCCTCCCTCGGGCAGCGCCCATTGACAGACAGGAAAAAGCCTGTCGATGCCCAAACTGTCCCATTGTGTCCTGCCATGGCCAAGGACCGACGACTCGGCAGCTCAAAACCACCGAGTCATGGTTCGCAGTTCGTTGATCCTTGTGTTTGCACTCGCGCAACAATGCCGCCGAACAAATACCAGTGACCTTCGCCATGCGCCGGTCGCCGCGCCGCACCTACCGGTTCGCCCTCTCTTGAGGTTTAATGACACTTCCACCAACGACCGGTCAATTACCGCAAGCCAAGCGTCGACCATCAGTGGTGGCAGCTGAGGTAGCTGAACGACACCATCGAAAGCGTGGGCGGGCGCCCTTCGTGTACCACAATTCCGTCACACGTAATGGGGCATAAATTTCAACGGAAAACGCAGTACTGAGCGTACCAGTGCATCAACCGACTACTCGGCTATGTCGCTGACCAAAACTGGTGGTCTAAAACGGTTGAGAAGTAAAATGCCATTTGAAAAAAGTAAGCACCGCATTGTACTCAGCAATCATGTGTTGACCGCGGAAGGCATCGTCTTACTGTATCACTTATGAATAGTACGCTTCCAAGTGGTGGCTTATAAAAAGAAAATAAATTTCTTACCACAGGAATGTCGGTATCGTTTAAGTTTTCATTATTCATTACTGCATGTGACGGTTTTCTTTATGTAGCTCATGTTGTGCACAGCTAACCTCCGCTGCTGCGTGTCGTCAGAAGTAATAAGTTGCCCTCAAGTCTATATCTACAACTAGGTGATCGTGATCACTGAAACTTCTAGTCTCCTGTTTCATTATGTCATATAGTCCCATAACTGACTCAGCTTGTTATTTTTTCACCTGGCATTTATTCATTCGTTGTTAGATATTTCATACTCCTTATCCATTTTAGCTCGTGGGGAAAAACAGTTCATTCAGTTTAATTTTCATGGCGCATCTCCTCTGCCAATTCGGTAGTCCAATCCATGGAGTGGATTTTAGGCTCCTCTGTCTGCCACTGACCATGAAGTTGCCAACTCTATGGTATCATAACCGCGGCGATTGTGGTGCGTCATTCAGGTGTGCATCTTACGCAGCTAATGTCGGCTGTAATGTCGGTTGAGACTCGTTGCAATTACGAAATGGACAGCAGCTTAAATTAACTGAAAACCTCGTTATATTCAGCTTGACCATGCAGTCGTATGACCTGGTCCTATTTTTTCAAGTAATATCGACCTTCTACTGGTTTACAGACACGTTGCAGCCGAAAAATTTTGAATGTTCTAAAGCGTTTAGGTAATAAATAGCGCATAACTCTTTCAATACAGGATTTTAGGATGAATTGCTTCTACTTGCCTGGGGGGAATTAAGCATGCAGCGACTCTGTG